TTCCCCATGTTCCTGCTTGTTCTCCTCATCCAAGTAAACCGAAAACAAGTAGATGTATAGATAATATTCCTCTGCCCCATCTCTGTGCTCATGCTTCCTCGCTAGTTGCACGCACACCTCCCCACCACACTCACGCCCCTCACCACCTCTCAACCATCCGCCACTCAATCAGGATGTGGTGTGTACGGGGGACTCGGACGCGTTTCTGTTTGGAGCCAAGGCCGTGGTCCGAGACATCTGCCTGCACAAAGGTGCGCATGGGGAGAGTGTGTTGTTAGAATGGGTTGCGAAGGGGTGCATGGGCGAAATGAGCAGCCAATGCGGTGGTTCGGGCGCTGTGGGAGAGTTTGGCAGGGATGGAATGGAAGGGCGTGGCTACAGTGCAAGCACCTTGTATCCTCCTCCTCCTCCTCCTCCTCCTCCTCCTCCTCCTCCTCCTCCTCCTCCTCCTCCTCCTCCTCCTCCTCCTCCTCCTCCTCCTCCTCCTCCTCCTCCTGCTCCTCCTGCTCCTCCTCCTCCTCCTCCTCCTCCTCCTCCTCCTCCTCCTCCTCCTCCTCCTCCTCCTCCTCCTCCTCCTCCTCCTCCTCCTCCTCCTCCTCCTCCTCTCCTTTTGCACCTAAGCCTTCCCCCTCTCCACGTGCTCGCTGTTCTCCCTGCCGCGCTGATACCAGGTGCCAACTGGGCTGTGCTATACACTGCAGCGGACATCGCAGCTTCACTCAGCCTCGGCCGAAACTCACTCGTGAGAGCCCTCATGTGCCATGCCATGCCTGCCTTATGATGCCATATGATGCCATGTTGTACCATGACTCGAGCTTCCACTCCACTCTAATCCCCCTGTCTCACGCTCAGCCCATTCTCTCATTCGTTCTGTGCTGTGCTGTGCTCTCCTGCCGTGTTGTTATTCAGATCGCCATGGGGCTTTTTCTTGGCTCAGACTACTCACAGGGCGTCTCCTCTGCTCCCACTCTTCGTGCCAGGGTGAGTGCTCTGGTGCCCCCATTCTGTGTGAATCTTAGCTATTGTAGTCAAGCATCCCAGCTCATCATCTCCAGTCCCGTTACATTCTCCAGCCCGCTCCAGTCAAACGAACCCCTCGCATTCCCTCTCTATCACCTCCTCTTCCCCAACTTCACCCACCAGCAAGGAGCGGTGCAGAGGGTGGCAGCACTGGGTGAAGACGGCGTGCTAGCAGCGATAAGAGAAAGAGGCCTGGCTGCCATTGCTGCTCCCAAAGCTCGCAGGAGAGCGGGACCCGGCACAGGGGCGCAAGGGAAGAAAGGACAGCAGAGGCGGAAAGGAGTTGGAGGAGGGGAAGGGAGAGGCAGGGGAGATGTAACAGAATCGAGAGAGAGCGGTATGAGTGGTTGTGTTGGTGTTGGTACAGGGGGTGGCAGTGGGGCAGAGGGGAATCCGTCAGCAGGAGAAGGAGGGCATGAGCAAGGCGCGAGAGAGATGGAGGACGGGGGGGAAGAGCAGGCAAGGGAGGATGCTGCGAGGGTGATAGAGGCGTTTCTGAATCCTCCATGTCACGATGCTGCATCGGATGCTGTCAAAAGGTAAGGACACGCATGGCTGTGTTGCGTTGATGTATATGGAAACCGGGATGTGATGCAATGTAACGTATGCTGAAGTGGCAGCAGCATGTGGTATTCAAGTGGAATATGATCAGATGAGGTATCCGAGCGCTCGCAGCTATTGAGCTAGCGTGCTCCCTGCTGCTATTTCCTGCCACCGTTATCTACGTTCCCCTCTTTTACCCCATCGTGCGTGTTCCAGTGCGTTACAGAAGCACTGCAGCCCTTCATGTGTTGACATCGTCGCCTTCTGTGACAGGCACATGGCATGGCCTGCTGACGTCACAGGTGCGTGTGCCATGGGACGTTGACTGCCTACCACGTGTCCTCAAGTGAAGCTGCAATTCCTTTTCCCTTCCCATCGCCTTTTGCTAATTTCTCCTTTCCTTTCCCTTCTCCACCACCACCATACCCAGTATGGTACATTGGTACCACACTAGGCAAAATAGAACCCAATCCTTCCCTTCTTCTTCCCCTTCCATGCTCCTACTACCCCCACAGCCCGCCCCCTGTGAACCCATCCCCACGTTACCCACCACGGTACATTGGGTTCACAATAAGAGAATGAATGCCATCCTTTCCCTTTTTCTCCCCCTGCCACGCTCCAACCGCCCTTGCCCCCTGTCCCCACCACACCCAGCACGGTACATTGGGTCAAAGCTAGCAGAACGAGACCTCAGGCGCTTGCTGCTGGTGCGGCAGGCAGCGGAGATCTGTGTGACACCAGGGAAGGAAGCTTCCAGGAAAGCGGATGAAGTAGGGGGGATGCTGGATGGAGTGAGGTACAGGGTGGGCGGCATAGTGAAGGAGCGGTGGGTGGCTGGGCATAGAATGTTTGAGGTTTCATGGACTGGGCAGCCTGAAGTTGAAAACTCGGTTGTTCGGGCAGAACTGCTCACGAGGTAAGTGGTTGGTGTTGGAATTGTCGTCAGGAGTCTCCTTTGTCTTGTCTTGAAGAGATGTCCTTGTTTCCGGATATAATAAACGTTGTTGTTGCGCTGGCAGGGTTCATCCGGAAATGGTGCAAGCATATGAATCAGAGAAGGAAGCAGGAAGGAATAAGGGCCGAGGGAAACAGCAGAGGAAGGCAACGGAGACGAGGGGAACGAAGGAGAAGGAAACGACGGAGATGAGTGAGTTCATGACTGACTTGGGAGAGGCACCTGGTAATGATGTATGTGGCGGATATACAGAGTGGGAGGATGAGACGGAGTACCAGCGGTCTCAAGGTGTGGCAGGGCAACCACTCCATACAGATAATTCAGTGACAGAGCGGTCACATACATTGCTGTTCTCAGTAACGACTGACAGCAGCAGCGGTGAGAGAAGCGGTGCAGATGCGGGCACATCTGCTGATTTGAAGGGAGACAGGGAGCCATCCAGCAGATCGGAACCCAGCCCCTATGATCAGTTGTACTTGCCCTCCGAGTTCAGGCAGACTGAAAGCGACCAGGCTGCTCTATCCTCTGCACAGAATCATGAGATACAAGCAAGGGGAGCGGTGCATCAGATGAAGAAGATTGTTCAGAGCGCGAGCCATGAGGAGGATGTGGTTGAAGCGGGAAGGCAGGAAGTGGGAGTGCTGAAGCGCTGCCAGAAACCAGATGCTAAACCTGTGGAGAGCAGAAGCAGGGGAGCAGTGAAAAGCAATGAGAATGGGCTGCTGTGGGTTTGGCAGCAGGAGGACTACCCGCCCAAGGAGCAGCAGAAGGGAAAGCGAAGCAGGGTGCAGGACCGTAGTGCAGTACAAAATGCTCAGCAACGGAGAGGGGGTCCATTTATTGACTTGACAAACATGACCACCCTGCGAAATGACAAACAGGATTCAACGACCGCAGCTGAGTCAGTTGGGATAAGCAATGGCGGAAAGGCTGTGAGTGACTGCATTGACTTGATTCACCTGGGTAACGGTGACAGCCCTGGTAGAATGCGTGGAAGAGGACAGGCAGGAAGAGGCAAGCTCGTGAGAAGAGAAAATGTGCATGGAACAGATAGATGGGTGACTGCTGGCAAGCATGAAGTGGTGGACTTGGACACTCCAGAGTCTGTCACGGTGAAGGTGGCTTTGAGGGGAAATGCCATGCTTCAAGAGGCAGGAGGCTGTCTATTGGCTTCTAAACTCGACTTCGCGGGAGCCATTTGGGGGGGAGAAAGTAGTTGCGCTTTGGTGAACTTGATTGATTAGGAAGGCAGCGATGACTAGATTGCTAAGATGACTTATTTCTGTACCTCCTGAACTACAAACACCTTCCTTAAAGATAACCCAGATCGTCGATCGACACTCGTATGTCCACTAGTCGAAAACTAAATATTCCGTCAAATAGCACGAGATTGCAGCGACCGTAATTAGTTTTGCACCAACCGTCGTACTCGATGGGACATCTTACCCTACGTGTTGCGCTAGACGGCTCCGCCCCTTTCACCAGTATTCAAGATGCAGTGGACGCCATCCCAGGCAAAAGCCAACCAACGATCATACAGATCGACCCAGGCACTTACTTCGAACAGGTCCGCAAACCACAAGCAACGAATTTTGCCAGATTTGCAGGATATTGCTGTTATGACGTTTCAAGCGTTATCTAGTGAGTCGCTAAGTTTAACAATGCTTTTGCCCCCCTGGGTGACCGTTCCCGTCAGGTTCTAGTTCCATCGTCCAAGAAATGCATTAGATTCATCGGAGCTGGACCTTCATGGTCAACAATAATCTGTTTCGACGCATTCGACGGGAAGGCTCGACCTCCGCATGCACTGAGCGCTTTAGGCGATCGTACGACTCTTGTATACAACACGTACAATTGTGCGACAGTTCAGGTAAGAGATTGCTGAGTTCAAGCACTCTAGGAATGCCAACATCGAGTCGTAGTTACGCAATCATTGTCCATTTCCCCATGTTCCCAGGTGGAGGCTTCAGGCATTATCATGGTTAACATTGTGATCGTCAACCAATCAAGGCCAGGCTGTGGCGGTCAGTCAGGGCAAAACCAGGCAGTGGCGTTACGCTCGTCGGGGGACGAGGTTCAGCTCCATGGCTGCTGGCTACGAAGTTGGCAAGCGACGCTTTACGCCCATCAAGGGCGGCAGGTGAGCACCCCTCCTAGTCGAGAATGGAATTTGATTATTCCTATCTTGTTGTCAAAGAAACCACGCTTTCTTGAAGTTTCAACCATGTAGAACAAACTGTTGCTAAAAGTAAAAGTGAAATAATATTCACAGGGGGTCTGAATGACACTTGGAACATGAAATTGTGCATGAGCTTGTAAGCAATGGTGCCAAAGCCAGCATCAGAAGGCGTAGGGGTCATCCACATTAACTTCGGAAACCTGCCAGTCAGCATTGTATCCCGTTGTAACCTGTGGAGTGGTCAGCTTTGTAGGTTTCAAAGCATCAACAAATGAGCAAGCATGAACAGGAGTTTGAACAGACCTTAGTGAAGTCCACCTTGGAATCATTAGGCTTGTAGTCGGCTTCCTGTAATTTAAGATGCTGTCAGGAGAGGAATTGGAAATAGCAGAACCGTTATAATAAGAGATGTATTACCATGTGCTTCAGCTTCTTCTTCTTAGAAAACGTAGATGTAGCTTTGGTGACGAAATCCAACTGGAGCAAACCAAAGCGTTCGATTGCTCGTCAAGATTCTCTCTTCAGCAAAGGTAAAGCATTGCTGAAGGGTACTTGCCTGTTTGGGAGTAGCAGCTTTTGCGTCCAAAGCGAAATCCTGCTGTTGTGTAGATATAGCTGGCTGGAGCCTCAACTTCTTCCCCGATAGTTTTTTCTGTAGATCCAGAGTTTGTAAGAGAATGCTCACCCTGAAAATCTCATAGTCACAAGCGTGGACAACCCACCCGTGACTTCAGTGTCTTCGATGAAGTAAGATTCTGTGTTTCAGCTGCTCCATTGGACGCAGGAGTGGAGCCTTGCAACTTCTGTGCACAACCGAGATACTGGATAAGTCAATACTCATAAAGCCATGTCTCAGACGTTCTGCTCATTCCATTTCTACCTTTTCCAGTTGCAGCGCAGCTTGACTTTTGCCTGATTCCACATCCTTAGCCTCCATGGCTTCCTTGGCTTCCCCTGACTTGGCCTGCACTAACTCGGAAAATTGATTAAGACCAAGAGCTGACAACGCATTTCACAGCGTTTAAAAGCCTTACCGTTTCCTCTGTCAAGCTGTCACGTTGTGACTTAAAAGAGGATTCTTGTTCTAGCTTCCTCTTCCTCAAAGAACTGTCAAAGCCCATACGCTGAGTTTTCAGTGCGTTCTCATGATCCAGCTTCATAGATTTAAGGATGCTGTCGTGCTCCAGATCTTTCTTCTTGATGACGTTCTCGTGCTCCATTTGAGTCTTTCTAAGACTGTCCTCATGCTCCATGTTGAGCTTGTTCAGCATGTTCTCGTGTTCCATCTTAAGTTTGCTGATATGACCCTCCGCCTCAACTCTTGTTGTTGCGCATTCCTCTTCCAATCTCATCTCACTCTGTCGCAACTGTCAAAGGTGCGATATGTTGGTTAGCTGGGTCGGTGTAAAGCAAAATGAGCACATCAGTTTGATTTTTGCTGTTTGACTCACCTCCTCAATTTGTTGCTCGTAACTCTCCTTGAGTTGAGCTTCACGGGCCCTGCTTTCCTCCTCAAGTCGCATGGATTTCTTTTCAGCTTTCTCCAGTTTCTCCTGTGCCTGCAGCAAGTCAACATGTAAACTCGGTAATATACTTTTTATTTTCGAAAACTATATCAAGGTTGGTTAGCTACGTTACCTCTGCCAAGCACCGCTCCAGCTCGTCATGCAAATTACGCAGCATGCCTTCATGGTTTTCCTGCTGCTGCTTGCACTTCTTTTCCATCCCTCGAAGCCTTGATTGCAGCTGCGAATGAAACTTTGCCACATAAAATAATGTAAATGCACATGCGAATGCAGCAAGTAAACAAAAGCCTTACCTCTGACTGTCGCAACTCATTGATTTCCTTCAGCTTGTCCATATCAACCCTGTGTACCTCCTGGAGCTCTTGGCACTCTCGATCCTTAGATGTCAACTTGTCTTTGAGCTGCAGCAAGCAGAATTGTTATGACTTTGGGAACTCGCCAAAATGCTCATGCTTAGACAGGTACGCAAGTACACTGACCTCAGTGGATTCACGTGTCATTACTTCCAACTGAATGTCAAGGGCTTCCTCACGTTCTGTCTTGGCCAACTCAATCCTCCCTTCCAGCTCTTCCGTCAATGATGCAATGGCCTTGACATGGAAACCAGTGTTAGAAGGTTTATATTGGTGCGTTTTGTGAGCACAATAATACTTGTGCTTACCTCAGCATGTTGTTGCTCCATCAACGCTCTTGCAGTCGCCATCTCTTCGCTCTGCTGGAGCTTTAGTCTCGTAATCAAATCCTCTGTAGATTGAAGCTTTGACTCAACCTGCAGAGGATAGCTTTAGATGCTTGGAGTCAGTTCATCAATGCACAGCCAGCTCACCTTATCAACGCACAGCCAGCTCACCTTATCAATAGCAGCCAGGCACTCTTCCTCTTTAAGCCGCAACTTGATTTCAGTCTCTTTCACAAACGAGGCGAATGATGCACGATGGGTCTCTTCAAGCTCCGACACCTATTAAGACTGCTGTAAGCCGATCTGCCTCAGATTTTGGCATTGTCCAGGCAAGTAGAGGCAAGCTTACCTGTGACTTGTTTTTCTCGAGGAGGGATTTGATCCTGGCTCCATACTTCTCCTTCTCTTCTGCCAGTTGGTTCTGGAGGTTCTTCTTGGCACTCTCAAGTGCATCTTGATCCTGTGACATGGCAATGGATGTAAATTCAACTTGTGGTGACCACTTTATGAGCCGACAAATCTTCCATGTGCACACCTTTTTCCGCTCTTCATCCACACTCCTTGTTGCCTCTGTCTCAAATTCTTTCCGCATCTCCGCCATAGCGAGATTATTGCGCCTTGAAATTTCTTGAAGATGCTTCTGCAGTTCAAGCTGCTTTGATTGCATCTGCCTTTGGTAGTCTCTCTTCAGATCCTTTGCTTGCTTCTCTGCTGACAGCAGCTTCTCCTGACACTGGAATTCCAATACTCTGGTAAGTTTCTTGCAATATTTAAGGAAGAGACACCAAACTCTGTGTACTTACCTCCTTGTAGTCCTTCTCAAGTGTCTCAATTTGTTCCTTCATCTGGCTCAATGCAGCTTCATTCGCCTCAAGGTTCTCTTTCAGTGTCTCGTTCCCAGAGACGAGCTGGGTTTCAGCTTCTGTCTTCGCTGCAACAGCTGCAGATAGCTCCTGATTTTCTGTCGTAAGCATAAATAGTTTTGCTTCCAAGGACTCCTTGGTGCTTTTCAACTCTGTGGTTAAGCACTGCAACTCGGCTTGCAATCCTTCCTGCAAAAGAAAAGGCTTGTGAGATGCGAACTCGAGAGCTTTTGCTATGAACGTCTGCTAGTTTGTTACCTTCTCCTGTGTTGTATTCCTGTCCTTATTTTCCAATGCTTCCAGCTGATTTTGAAGCTCCTCTTTTTCGCTCCCAGCTTCCTTGGCTCTGGCCTCCAAGTCTTGCAATGTTGTCAGGAGCTGACTGATTTTTTCCTTGGACTGACCGTGCTCGGACTCAAGCTGGCACATGGTCTTTTTCCATTTTTCTTCTGCCTCTGTTAAAAACAACACGCGATTGAGTTGTAGCATGATACGAGTGAACGAGACCAGTCCGGCTAAGATCATTTACCTTTTGATTGTTGTTCCATTTGCTGAACCCGGGCTTGCAACTGTTCACACTCCTTGCGTGCTTCATGCAGCTCCTGTTGAAGTTCTTCCTTTTTAATCCTCTCTTCTTGAAGCCTAACATTTGAAGAGCTTAACTGGCTCAGAATGGCATCTGCATTCCGCGTTGACAGTGCGTTCACACTATCAAGTGCACCCAGCTCCGCTGAAAGTCGATCGACATGAGCTTTGAGCTCTTTCACTTCATCATTTCTGTGTTCCAAGGTTGTCTGTAATAACTTTATGGTGGCCTGGTGGCGCGAGATCTCCTTCGACTGCAAGAATACACGACAGTAAGTCTTTGTGTTTATTGAAAAGCAACTGGTTTCCCCAGGAATGCTGCTGTACCAAGGAAGTGTTGGAGAGCTCAAGCTGCTTCATGTCTTCCTTATAGTTTTCCACCTCCACTTGTCTTTGCATAAGTGTTGAAGCAAGCTCTTCGCACTCTTTTTCTTTGACATGATATGCTGCCTGTGATGACTGTGCTTGTTTCACCCAAGTATCTGACACAATAGCGAGTACGATTGTTAGCCATCTGTGAAGAAGACGAAATCGTAACGGTGAGTCTCACCTCTTTCAGAGCTGTACTTTTGTGCTTCTCGCTTCTTGAGTTCAAGAGAGGACTTTAATTCCGCTTCCAGCCTTTTTAAACGCATGCATTCCTTACGGCCTGCATCAACGGCGTTTTTAGTTTGACAAAATCTCGCACGAAGGTAAGCAATAGGGAAAACACATACTCTCGCTGGCGTTAGCGTTCACCAATGCATTTTCGTTTTGTAACCGGACGAGCGCTGTCTTCAGCTCTTCTATCAAGAGATCCTGCTTTCCAAACTTATCATCCAAAAGTCGACGAATTCCTTCCTCTGTAAAGGAAGCCAACGTAAGAAAAAGAAACTGGTAAAAACAAGTCTTTTGAGAGCAACGATGAGCGGGATCGTTACCTTGTACTAGCTGTCTCTCGATCTGCTTATATACGTCACAGACTTGTTCATACTTGGTGAAACTTTGAGTGTGGGTAGCGTGTGTTTCAACACTTGCTGCACTCATCAATCTTCGCTTCTTCGAGATGGCACTTGGTGATGCGGGAACCACATCCTGAGAGAAAAAAATGAGTTTTACTGAAAGCATTTGAGTACTCGATCTTGGAATTGTCGACCGACCTGAGACCGGTATTCGACGATCTCGTCTCGAGCCATCCGTTTCGGTGGATGGTTTGTTACGAAAAGTTTGTGTGAAAATGACGGTATTCCCTTCGATCTGGTTTTTATGACGAACCAGGAGCAACTCACAAATGTGCCACCGCGTCACATGTGTCGCGACGAGGAAAAGATTGGGGGTCGGACTCGCTAAACTCACTCGCGATGTTAAAGCTGAAGTAAACATAAATAAAAAGTCCATAAATTTTACAATCAACTCTGGATTTTTTTCTGTTTCTTGGCCCCTTTCTTGCATGTTTTTGCAGTACTTCTCCAGAAGTATTATCGAAGGAAACGTGGATTTTGTTTTTGGAGGGCCAAATGTCAAAGCAGTTTTCTTTAAATGTTCAATTCTAGCCAAGGCTCAAGGCACATTCACAGCTCACTACCGAGACCTCGACACTTATCCACGAGACACTGGCGCTTTTGTGTTTCAGTGTTGCGCTTTTGATGGTGAGTGTGTTCTTACTTTGCCATGATTAAGTCTGGTTGATAATGTACTGTATCATGTTTTCCAAATAATGATTTCAGGCATGTCAAGTACAACGGGTCCTTGTTACCTTGGCCGCCCCTGGCGCCCGGATGCACGGGTCATCCTATCGCATTGCTATATTGGTCAGTGTGTGCCTCGGCGTGGTTGGGACCGCTGGGACGGTTCCACTGACATTAACAGGCCGACGTTCTGGGAGTTCAGATGTGTGGGGCCTGGTTCAATCGTAAGTACCATTCATGATCAACAGAATCATGAGCTTTTGGTGAGACCCCCATAACCTGTGCTTGACCATAAGCGTCCCTGTTGTGATGGCCTTGTTGTTGCAGAATGCTTCTTCCGCCACCAATCAACCTTCAGACCAAGAGAGGCGTACAATGCATAAAGATCCTCCCTCAGAATCACCGCGATTCATCGGCCAAGAGCCTTCAGAAGCTGAGGTTGCCCCATTTTTAGACTGCCGAACTTTTTTTGCAATGAATGAAACGGACTGCCCAGGGACGACCTTTCCTGGGCCAGCGCCACCGTGCTCTGTTAATGAAGACGGCCCACTCGGAACCCCTCGTCCTCCAATTGAAGGTATAGTGTCTGTCTAAGGCCGTCAATGTGAGGCGTTCATCCGCACATCCCTTCTGTCGCAGAGCATCACCATGGTGTCTAACCCAATGCTCACTCATTTTGCTGTCTCCAGAAATTACTCCTGCCACGACCAAAGAAACCACAAGAATGATTCTTGTGGGTGCACGGGCGCCAGAAGCAATTACCTCAGCTCTTGACCGTGTGTATGGTACAGTAAAGTGGTTCACGAAGGTGCAGGAGGCCATTGATGCAGTGGAGTCTGGAGGGAAGCACACCACTGTGATTGCAGTCCAGCCAGGCACATACTTTGAGCAGGTGGGCGGGAGGGACAGTATTCGTATGTGCACGGATTGCTGCACTTTTCTGTTTTCCCCTTGTGCATGATTAACCAATGCTCAAACCTATAACCAATTTTGCTCGCCAGGTACGAGTCCCCTGCAATAAGACGCACATTCTGCTGCGGGCGGCATCAGTTGAAGAAGTGAGCACTGGTGGTGGGGAGGTCCGGATAGTCTTTGACGCACATGCAGGGAAACCTAAGCACAGCAGCGGCGGCGTCAGCGGCAGTGGCAGTATCAAAGGGAAAGATGCCAGTGCTGCTGACAGCTACACGACATATACTTCTGCAACTTTTGCGGTGAGAAGAAAGCGAATATTATCCATTCCCCGTACAACCCGCCTTTCTCATACCACCCTTTTTGTTGCTCGCCTTCTACTACGCATGTATTTCTCCTCGGTACTGTCCGTCATTCTTGCTCTCCTACCCTTCTCCTCCCCTGACAGGTGGAGGCGAGCCATTTCACAGCAGAGGGGATAGTGTTTGAGAACGCAGCAGGACCGCAGTGTGGGGGCGCATCAGGGCAGCACCAGGCGGTGGCAGTGCGGGTGACAGCGGAGCGAGCAGCGTTCCACCGGTGCAGCTTCCTGGGGTGGCAGGATACGCTCTACTTGCACCGTGGCAGCGCGTGGTTCAGGGATTGCCGAGTGGAGGGATCTGTGGACTTTATCTTTGGAGGACCCAAGGTGAGGAGAACTGGAGTGTCTGCTTTTCCCTTGCCTGCTGTTGCCACCAGTTTTCTTCCTGCTCTCAGTTTCCTTCCCGTTTCCTGCTGATGGAGACTATAGACGCCTCCCAAGCCCATGCATTCTGTGATTTTATTTCCTGTGATCCAGTGTTTCTTTTTTCCTGCCCGCCGCTTGTGTGGTCAGGCACGAGGCTACTGGAAGGGGTGTGAGGTGGCAGTAAGGGGCAGGGGGTGGATGACAGCTCACCGCAGGGATCTCACCCAGTGGCCTGACGACACCAATGGTGCATTCGTCTTCGATGCATGCTCCATTCAAGGTACTCAATGCCTCCTCCAGTTCCTCCTCCAAGGGTTTATGGCTCTCAACCCATCGCCTGGAACGAGTGTGTTCTTCACATTACCAAGCCCTTTGGACCATCGATACCCATTCTTTTTGCTGCCTTGCCCTCCTGTTTCCCCCTTGCAATTTTTCCAGCGGCAGATGCATCAGTGCCTGACAGCTGTGCGCTGCTGGGACGGCCATGGGGTCCAGATGCGCGTGTGCTGCTGCATGGGTGCAACATAGGAGCCGTGGTGAAGGCAGAGGGGTGGGGCACATGGAACTCTGCGACTGATGTTTCTCGCCCTAGGTTCCTCGAGTGGGAGTGCACCGGACCCCGTGCTTCATTGGCTCATGTACGACAACAGTCTATGCTTCAATCTTGCTATCACAGCCCAGCCCACACACATAACAACCGTTTGGCACTTACAACATGTACAGTACTTCATTCTCATTCACATTTATTGCATGTTCTACCGTACTGTACCTGTGTTGCCAGAGAATCATAGGGCGGCAGGCAACACAAGAAGAGGTGGACAAGATGGTATCTGAGAGTGTTTTCTTCCAAGACTTGCCAGGTTTCCCTGCTTCCACACCATTACCTTGATTCACGTTACTGTTTTCTACTACCGTATATAGCTGCACAGGATTGAATGATGTGGTAGTCATTCATGTGTGGTTCATGTGAGCCTTTCCCTCTTCTGTTCATGGCACCATACCATACCATGCATTGCATGCAGTAAACAAATGGACCAACCCGACAAGCTATACCAGTAATAGCTACTATGCAACTTATATACAGCTAGCAGTACCTCAATCGTGGAATACCCAAGCCAAGTTACTACCCGTGCCTTCAGATAAATCACCTATCAACCCCACAAATTACCGTACAGCACATCCTTGAAAGATCTTCCAGCAAAAGTTGAGTGCACCTTTTGACCCCCAGCCCAGGGTCACCCATGGTACAACCCTCTCACTCTGCCCTGAATTGTCCTCCTCTCCTCCTGAGACACATCGGAGAAGGCATGTGATGGCAGGTGCTCCAGTGGTGGGCGGCAGTGCTGCGGCCGGCTGTCTGCCAGATCATATGTGGCGCCGCGTATGGCCTCCCAGCGCGGGCCGCATGGCCGCTTCGTGGTAACCATCTCATATGCTGTCCGCAGCTGTAGGGAAGCAGGCAGAGGAGAGTGTGGGGTATAAGGGTCAGGGTTTGAGGACTGGGAGGGGTGGACTGGACGGGGATCAAGCCTTGACAAACTTGAACTGAAGAGTGTACAAAGGGAAGTTGAACAGTGTAGGGCAGTCAGAGTGAGTCAATACAGCAGCAGAGCGACTCACGTCCATGTCACGGAACCAGAAGAGGAAGGCGATGGCAGCAGCAGGCGCGCGGCCGAGGCCAGCAGTGCAGTGCACGAGCACAGTGCGTCCCCCGGACACATGGTGCTCTATCACCGCCACCATTCCTGGCAGCTGGTGCCTCAGCGAGTGAGGGTCGAAGTCCACCGCCTGGTGGGGACATTGATGCACACAGGGCCAGGTGGGAACAGAGGGCGAGGGGAGGTAAGGAAGAGAAAATGGATTTTAATGGCACACGCTAGCAAGGAGAATGGGGGCAAGCCGCATGAGATAACAATTCCCCAAAAATCACCCAACTGGTCAGGAAGGAATGAGCATGGGAGTCGTACGGGTCGGCGGTAGTGCCTGAGCCCCAGCTGGCGGCAGTGGTGCGTGATGCGGTGGATGTCGACGCCCCAGTACGCGATGTCGTGGTCCTGCTGCAGGTTCAGCACCACCGCCACCTCCTCCTCGCGCTGCAGCCGCTCTATGTCGTCCGGACTCTGCGGCTGAGAGCCCACCAGCAGATGCTGCGCGATCCGCGTATAGTACATGCCTGCACCACGTTGTGAGTGAGTTTTAGCGTGCTGAAGTCCAGTCTAGACATACGAATCTAGAAATATGCGCGTGTTGCGGGTACTCGCATGAGAAGGTCTTGTGCTGCTGGAATTGGCAAGCGAAAAGCATTATCTCAGTTGAAGCAATAGGTTACGAAGTCATTCAAAGTACGTGAGCTTACCAAGGTGATGGTGATACTCGTAAGGGTTAGCCATGGCTCGTTTCATCCGCATGTTGTATTCCGACGACGAGATTACAATCCCTGTTCTGTCCGAGTCTGACGTGTCCCCACCACCATTCAGCATGCCAGTAGCGGCGTCTCCGACGCTCAGACGGCTTTCAAAGCACGGGCTCTGCAGGCTTAGGCTTCCTTCTAGAGTCGCAACAGTGGAGTTGTCTGCAACAAGACCGGGTGCAGAAGGAGCAGCAGATGCTGAGATTTGCGGGCCATGGGGCCTGGCAGTACGGTGGCTTGCGGTGTTTGAAGGTGGAGTAGACAGGGCTGCTAGATTCGCGGCGAACAATGAGGTGGTGCTGCTCAGCGCAATGCACGGAGACGGGAACATGCCGGAAATCAGGACGGGGACGGGAAGAACAATTTTGTCGAGACTGCCTAGCGGTGCGTATTTCAAATGTAGGACTGGAAATGACTGACTGGGGAATCTCGTCGAGCTATACGATGACCATGAAAACGAGACGAAGTTTCCAGAATCAGGTGTGCCAGCACGTCGGTCGCGGCGGATCAACAGCAGTTTCCCCCGTGATTCTTAGTGCAACAATGTAGCCGCTCGGCCTCCCTCCACTACATACAAGTTGTCAGTCCCTTGCCTACTCTACCCTCCAGGAAGTAGAGAAAGCCGAAGCAAAGTAATGCGGGAGTGGCGACACAATCCGCCGCAAACGGTGCAATCTCCGACGTGCTATGGCGTGTGTGGAAATGGCTGCCTGTTTTTATAAGGCGAGGCTGCTGTGTTGGGCCGGAATGTGCCATGCTGTGCTCGTGCTGGTACACTCCTTGCTTGCGGGAGAAGAGAAGGGAGGCTTGCTGGAGAGACTCGTCTCGTGCCATGCAGTGTAGCAATTCCCAATCCCAGAGTCGTCAAGCACGAGGATCATATTCCACCCTGAAAATCGCATGGCTGAGGTTTGCATGGCCGAGATTGGTTCTAGATGGAAGCGCGAGGGCTGAAAATCAACGGTAGCCACATATGGTGGGCGACGATGACGTGCTGCGAAGCGGTACGGGAGACGGCTTGGAGTTCGCGAAATGAGCAACGAAAGGCGACGGATGCAGTGCTGGCACATCCGTCCCATGCAGCCCCTATGGGCCACCGCCACCGCGGATCCAATGAGTCACCTCCACGCGTGAGTAGCGGCGGTCCAGCAAAAGATCGAGGAGCGCCACCTCATAGTAACCCGCAGCTTGCGTCATCCTGCTGATTCCTCCAAGGTCGAGATGCGATACCACAGTGTTACAATCACTGTGATGGACAATAGAATCACAAATTACGAGCATATAGCTTTGTTTTTGTTGTGTATTCTGTGTATTGTTCGTAACCTCAATATTTTGTAACGAGGCTGCTCCAACAGAGATTTCAGCTGTGCATTTGTTTTCGAGATTGTCCCTCGTCAAGGATTCCATTACATACTCCCAACGGCACCCCATGATCGCCACGATCTGCGGGCAATCATGAGGGCCGATGATGCAAACGATCTGCACACCATTTCAGCTCGTCACCATGGTCTATGGCGTCCCTCTCGCAACCAGTCTAAGCCTATCGGGGGCTCAAATCCTGCATCGCATTCGCATCAGAGAACTCGACTGACGTCAGTACGGCAGGATATTTTCGGCGCTGCGTCATGGAGTCCATCGCGGCGATTGCTGTGCATGGGCCGCGCGAGAGGCATCCTGCTTGCTGTCACGGCTTTAGCTGCGCTGTTCGTATTGTGGCATTCGCACGTGGTGCCACGGTTATTCAGCCAAAAGGTAACTTACTCTCCTCAGCAATGTGTTCAGTGATACTTACTCGATACTAATCTATTCCCGTCCGGTATATCGTCGTTACCGTCACGATCTGTCCGTATCTGCCCAAACTACCCACCGTTTGCATCACATTTCCCTTTCCATGTTATGCTCGCGCTGTGTCCAGGCGTCCCATTTCCGAAGAATGTCAGCCACTCCACCCGCGACCAGCCTGCTTCTAAACCCTCCATTTGTCAGCGCGAATAACAAACCACCTGCCAATCCAACTCCAACCACTCTCACTCACTCCTCCAAATTCTCCTCCCCGTCCACCAACTTCTCCCCCTCTCCCTCACTCACTCCTCAATCCGCTTCCTCCGAAACCACAACAACTCTCCCACCATCCCGTCTCTCCCCTCTCCATACCCCTCACCTCACGCCGACCTCGGGCTGCAGCTGCTACCGCGTGCGCAACGTGTACTGCTGCAAGCAGGCCCTCTGCGTCTGCCACTCGCTCTGCTTCAACGGCTCCGCGCTCCTCTCCGCCCCCACCCCTCAGCCAACCTCAGGCAGAAACAGACAGAATCCCGGATCTCTTCCACCCCCCTGCCTTCCGCCTCAGTACACCCTGAACCAGATACAGCCTTCCCCTGACGGAGCGAGCAGCAGCAGCAGTGGGATTACAGACGTGCTGTCTCCCATCCCCTGCAGTCGCAAGGCAGAGTTCGCTGCCTATCTCAACATGGCTCTTACCGAAGCCCCCATCAGAGGAGGCCTGCACGCTGCCAGTGAGGACACGTGGCGCAAGTGGGTTGGTCCGGGGGGAGGGAACAGGGACAAGGGAGGGTCGGCAGAGTGGCGGGATGGCAGCACGCTGCTGATACCTCTGGACGACCCCACCACCAATGTGGCTCACTTCATTGGTGCGTGCGCCATGCCACACCATCGCTTCCGGTTGATCCAATCACCATTGTTACTCTTTTCTTTGGCAGACTGTTGGGATGGGTTGGGTTCTTGTGCCTGTGCAACCCGTGCTGAATTTTCTGTCTTTTAGGCTCTGTTGTTTGCTGCTGCTCTCAAATATGTTTGTGCTTGCTAATGGGCATTTCTGCGTGAACCACCTCAATCTGGCTCCCTCCTTGCACATATGTGTGTGTGTGTGCATGTGTGCCTCCTTGGGCAATAATGGTGGTGTGTGTGTGGGAATGTGTGCACACATATGCGGTCATGGGCGTGTTTGTGTCTGCGTGTGTGCGCGTGCGGGGGAGGGGGGCTGTTGGGAGGATGGATGGGGGAGGGTCAGGGGGGGGTGTGAATGATGTGAGCGGCAGGGAAGGTGGCTCAGATACTGCTAGTCAACAATGCATCAACGCCCACGGCTCTCCCCGTCATCACACGATTCCTCCTGCCACGCACCCCTGCTGCTGCCTCCAGGTGTCTGCCTGCTGTGCTTTCCCCACGTCTCCCTTATCCAACGTTTTTCGTTTCTGCACAGCCTTTTCTGGCGCGTGTAGGAACTTTCTGAATTTTCCTTTCGTGTGCATCATGCACAATCCACATCGTTCTCATCTGATTCACATCTTACTCTGGTGGGCCCTCTTTGCCTCCCTCTGAACCTCCCTGTCCTCCTGTTCTCCCCGGTTGATATTCCTGACACGTTTATCCCTGTCTCTCAACCAGGATGAGGCAGCACGGGCAGCGGGGGTGGATCCCCTCCGTGCTGCACATGCTGCTGCGCATCGCCCTCGAGCCCCTCCTCAACCACACTGCTTCCTCCCATCACATCCCGTCGCTCCCACGAAGCCCTCAATCTCTAGCCGATGCGATCTCGCCTGAAGTGTTAGTGGGAGCGTCCACTGGTGCAGCAGCAAGCACTGGTGCCAGCAGGGGTGGTTTGGAGGTGCTAGCAGGGGCGGTGGAGTTTGAGTCAGCATTCAGCAGGGCATCTGATGCACATCCCATGTGCTTCCATCGCCTTGTGCTGCCAGGCTACCTCAAGGTGCCCCTGCCTGCTCTCTTTCTGCCCTCTGCTTCGACTGCCTGAATGCCTGGCCTCAGCCATTTTCTGCTGCGTGTCTCACTCTCTTTCTTCTCCCTCCAGGGTTGCTTTCCTTCGTCCTGACATGATACAGGAGTTGTCTTCCATTTGTTTGCTTTCTTCCATTGGATGGCCTGAGCTCGCCACATTGCTGAAACACAATTCGCCTCGACATCCTCTCGGCCTTTTTGAACCTCTATGCAGGCAATCACCTTCCCAGGGGGCATGGAGCAGGCGGACATGTTTAAGCACCGCCTCAAGGAGGCCTTCCCCCACCCCGACCCCGACCCCTTCCGCGCTCTGGCGTCTCCAGAAAATGCCTCTGTGGGAGATGCGTCTGCTGGGAGCAGTTCAGCTGATGGTACCACTGTTCGCCTGCTGTACATCACTCGCAATGCATCGCTCACACGCGGCCGCCGTGTCATGAGTGCGGAAAGCTCCAGCGCTCTGCTCAAGCTGTTTCACCAGCTCAACTTCCAGGTACGTGCCCACTCCACCGCAATGTGACTCTGGCCGTCCTGCTGCTTTAGTGCCCAGTAGTATTGTTGTGCCCTTCCCCTTCACTTTCCACTTACTCCCCCATACCGAATTCCACTCATACCCCTGTCTTTCAATTGATCCTATCCCCCATCTTGACATTCCCCATTCTCCAATCACCCCCAACACATCAGTCTTCCATATATCGCGGTCCTCCCATTACCCTGTCCCACAACTTCCCCTTCCTGCAACCCTGTATGCCTGCCCACCAGGTAGCCCAAGTGGAGTTCACGCCGCTCACCTTTGCTCACCAGCTAGCTCTGGTACAGGCAGCAGACATCATAGTCTCCCTGCATGGCGCAGGCCTCACCAACCCCGCCTCGTTCGCTCGCTCCGACTCCGTTCTCCTGGAAATTTCCCCCTACGGAGTCTTCTACAATCTGTACTATTTCATGGCGGTGAATGCCGGGGTGACCTACATGCTGCACCAGTGCACAGCCGGACCTGCCCCCATGCCGGCTAAAGATGCGGAATTTCAAGGCGTAGGTCCGTTTGCGTGTGATCATGACCCGGCATGCAAGCAGTACCGGACTCATGACCGCCGGGTGAATCTTGGGAAGAAAGATATTGAAGAATTGGGGAACCTGCTTTCAGTGGCTCGGAGACTGGTTTTGGATGTGAGGAAAAAGGGGAGTCGCGAAGGAGGAAGGAGGCTGCGGAGGTCGTTTGGGAAGCTGTGTGTGTCAAGGAAGAGGAATAAGGATTGTAGGATGAACTTGCTAAGGTCTCCGGTTGCAGATCCAACGTATGAATGTGTTGTTTCGATGGAATGTCCTTATGTTTCCAAATGATATGCATCAACAGGTGATGAATAACTGAATTCAAATTCTAGTGACATCTTGCAAGAAAGTTCATGACAGGGGTATTAGTAAAAACTGGATGGAACATTATGGAAAGAGGCAATACATAGGGTGAAAACATGGAACGTTATGTACAAATGAATACAAACGCAAATTGCAGTGCCTCAAAACTGTCTTGAAAGAAACCTGCACCCACATGAACACGACAGAGGATTTAGACAGTGTTCGCACGTTCAAATTTTGACAAGGTGTGCAATGTCGAGAATCGCTGGGGAGGGATCAGTTACTGGCTTGGTGGCTCGTAAGAGCCGAGTAAGCAAAGTGGAATCAGCTTCGATCATAGGGGAAAATGTCCTCATTTCCCTCCACCAACATACTCGTCAGACGAATGACATCAAAACTAAGAGGGCCAGAAAGACGACGCGGATGGTAATGAAAAAGATACTAGGAGGCGGACAAGTCTCATCGGATAAATCCCTTGATGGTCCACATACGCAGGCTGTAAGCCTAGCATTCGGACTCTTCCTATCATACAAGAATTTCGTCATCTGAGGCACTAATCCGACTCAAGAAAGGATCGGAAAAACATGAACAGGAGCATAATCGCTGCATCAGGGCTAAAAAGCTCTTCGAGTCAACAGTAAATTTCTGCGTTGGATGTATTCTGACGCATCATGTGCAGGAACGAAAATGCAGGAGAATCACCTCAGTCAGAATGCACTCAGTGCAGATTTTAGGAAAGAGCAAGTGAAGGACCGGGATCAGGATAAAAGTCTGGCGTACCGACTCTTCCTGTCTAAGGCACTAATCCGAAGAAAAGTAGGCAAAACGTAAACAGAAGAAGTGTCGCTGCATCAGGGTTAAAAAGCTCTAGAGATATATCAACAGTATATTTCTGCGTTGGATATTCTTTTCTTCATGTGCAGCAACGAAAATAAAAATGATATCACCTCAGCCCAAATGAAATGGTCAGTGCGACGTCGAGAGAAGAGCAGGGGAAGGAACGGGATCAGGTACTGGCTTGGTGGCCCATTAATGGGCCAAAGTAGCACAGTTGAATCAGCTTCGATCATGGGGGAAAATGTCATCAATTCCCGTTCCCAACAATCACCTCAAATCCTACTCGCGAAAAAACGGACGCCTTTGTCAGGCATGCATTAGGTCACTGATGACTTACATTCGGAACCGAGGAGGCTCACTCCACTCCAAGCGCTATGCCAAGTGCGTCACATAGCTGCCGATGACGTTCATCAAGTTCGGAAGCCCCATCAAAACGCGCGTGGACTACATCACAATGATAGAAACGTGGGATGTTGGAGTACAGGTACTTATGCCTTGCGTTGGCCTTTATACCTAAGGGTTGGGTTGGCGTTGTAGGAGACAGCCATTCTCCAACCGAGTTAGGCCAAGGGAGAATTGGATTGGATTGCTTCTTGGAGGCAGTTTTGGGCTTTGCAATGAGCCCTCCCAGTTCTGCAACGACTCTTTGATCTGCTGAAAATAAGATACTGAATACGTTGCGGGTTCTGTTTTGCAAAAAGCCTCCTTTTGACGGGGATTGGTCAGTGAGCTTCCTGGGAGGTTCAACTGACATAGCAACCAGCTGGTCACCCGTCTAGCTACAAGCGAAGTCGTGTTCGCCAAAACAAAATGTTGCGAAATCCATGCGAGTTTACAGCACTGGTTTCCAGCCCGTTAGAGCGTCGGTGCTTCGATATAAGTAGGTACGCAACTCACTAGTCCCCATTCTTAGCCATTTACTCCTGTCCACCAGCTTTTTTCCAAGCCTTTCGCCAGTCGGCCTCCTAATCTATCAATCCACATGCAGTCCAAGGACGAACCGCAGCTGTCGGATCTCCTCCTCCCGTCATCGCTACCATTCAAGCGCGTGCAGCTGGAGGAGAAGTACCCGCGCGGGTCGCAGGTGCGCGGCGGGCGGCACTGGAAGCACCTGAAGCAGATCCTGCAGCCGCACAACCTGAGCGACCTGCCGCCCGACGAAGCCAATTGTGCGTTGCTCTTCGCCTCTACCTTGGGATTGCCGCGCTGCGCTTCTGCTAGTTGTTGCCCTAATCAACGCCGGCTTGGATTTTCATGAAATCTCCGATTCTCACGCCACCTCTCCGTGAGCCGTGGCCCCTCCGCGTCCGCTGTTCCCCGGTTCCCGGGCCTCTCCCGCTTTGACCTAAGGCCTCTCCAATTTAGATAATCAGGTCTTTCTGAGATCATTCACGTTCCTCCCCGCCCCCTCCTCATTCAAATTCCCTGCTTCTCCCTGTTTCCTTCCCCCTCCCCCCTCCCCCATCTCCTCCTCTCCCCGTTTCCCCCTTCCCTCCCGTGCGCGCGCAGACGTGACGATCGAGGCGCCGCCATCAATGTACCCCGCTAAGAAGTACTGCGATATAACGGGGCTCGAGGCGCCCTACACGGACCCGCACAGCAAGCTGCGCTACGCCAACCCCGCCGCCTTCGCCATCGCGCGCTCGCTCCCCCACCCGCACGCGCAGGCCTTCCTCGCGCTCAGAGGCGCGCAGACCATCGTCAAGTGACTGTCGGGGGCTCGTTTTAGGGTTTCCTCAGCCGGCCGTCAGCTTCTGCCGGTATTTTAAGCCACTCACAGTCACTAACAGTCGCTCACAGTCGCCCACAGTCGCTCCGTCGCTCAATCGCTCACATTCTCTCAAAGTCGATCACAATCGCTCGCGATCACCCTCTGTCATTGAAACAGCTGCCAGCAACAGTCTCAACCTTGCGATGGCGCTGTGTCTGCACCACCAACCTCTCTTGCCATCGCCAGCACCATCGCCACTGGCAGCGACAGCAATGCCGCTACAAGCCACGGCATGGCGGTCCAGACAAGCACAGACACTGTCGCAACCTTCTAGGCGGCCCATGCTCGCACTTCCGCCAGCCTGCTCAAGAAGGTCGCAAGGCAGCTTCGATTCAGCACTGCACTTGCCTCTCAAGCTTCCTTACCAGGCCTCTTGCCGGAGTGCGCTCTTTGGTCTCTCTCCGTTGGTCCCACACAGGCCGACTGAGCGATTCGCTGGGTCTCTCGGGCACTCTCCCTGCCACAGCCTCGCATCTCCCTGCCGCCGCTACACTGCTGCGCGCTGGCGTGGCCTTGCTGCTCGAGCGGGTGGTGTTGCTACAAGCGGAGGAGGAGACAGCGTAGGAGATGTGACTCTAACGGATGTGATAGAGTCGGGTGTGGGTGGGATGGAAGGAGAGCGGAGGAGGGACGGGGTGGGGTATGGTGAGGACAGGGTTGGGAGAGGGGGGGTGGGGACGGGGTCTGGTGAGAACAGGTTTGGGAACGGAAGCAGGGTGGGAATGGAATCTGACATTCCCAAGGTTGTGTGGGAGCTCGAGCAGGATACCAAAGACCTGCTGGAATGGCCAATCGTGTGCCGCCAAGTGGCGCGATTCGCGGACACAGTAATGGGGTACAGAGAGGCGGAGGAGGGGCGGCTGGCAGTGGGGCGAACGTGGGAGGAGAGCCAGGCGCTGCTGCTGCAGACGGAGGCAGCGCTGCTGCTGCCACGACGGCTGGACTTCAACGGTGCTGTGGACGTGGGAGGGTTGCTCGCACGGCTCCACCGTGCTGCTGCTGCTAGTGATGTTGGTGATGGTATGGCCACGTCTTCTGGCAGTGATAGTGATGTTGACGGCAGTGACAGCGATTCTGGTTCTGCGGACTCTAATGGGAGCACCGCCAGTGCTGCCAGTGCTGCCACAGCTGCACCCCCCCCGGCCATGACCATAACCCCCTCGGAGCTTCTGTCAGTGGCATCTCTCCTGCAATCAGGCATTGATCTAGGGGCGGGCATTGGGCTGGTCCCAGATGAATCTGGCATTCTCTGCTCCTCCTCCTCCTCTTCCTCCTTCTCCACCTCCTCCTCCTCCACCTCCTCCTCCTCCACCTCCTCCTCCTCCTCCTCCTCCTCCTCCTCCTCCTCCTCCTCCTCCTCCTCCTCCTCCTCCTCCTCCTCCTCCTCCTCCTCCTCCTCCCCCCCCCCCAACCCCCTCGCATCTCGCCCCTCTCACGGCCCTCCTCTCCTCTGCTGCCACGTGTCCTTATCTCCTCCATCGCATCCGCACCGCCATCAACCCCCGCCTCAAGTCCCTCGCTGACTCAGCAAGCGCTGAGCTGGCAGCCATCCGCGCCGCCAGGCGGGACAACCGGCGCCAGCTGGACGAAGCATTACAGAGAGCAGCGCGACGTGTTGTGGAGGGAGGGGGGATGGATGAGGCTCAGGTGAGTAGGAGGAGAGGGAGGGGGTGCGTGGCAGTGCGAGCAGGGAAGAAGAGTGCTGTAACACCGGGAGGGGTTACCTTAGATGTTAGTAACACCGGCGCTACACTCTTTGTGGAGCCAGTAGAGGTTATCGAGTTGAACAATAACGAAGCAGAGCTGAGTGGGCAGGAGGCGGAGGAGGAGAGGCGGGTGCTGAGGGAAATGGCTGAGCAGGTGGCGGATTGTGCGCCGTTGATTCGAGATCTAGCGGACAGGATCGTTGCACTGGACCTGGCATGTGCCCGTGCAAGGCATGCCCTGTGGATGGATGCCTCTCGTCCTGTCCTCCTTCCACCCACACACCGTCTCTCCCATGGCCATGGGGATAACTTCTCAGGGGTAAATACGCCTGGGGACAGTGATACAGGGAGAAATACCCTTGCAGGGAGAGAATCCTACAAAATCGAATCTTACGTGGTTGAGATTCGGGGGATACAGCACCCAGTTCTGCTGGAGATGCATCTTGACGCCCTCAGTGCTGCTGCTCAGAATAGGACGAGTAAAAGCACAGGTGCAGCAGACACCAACGCAGTAGCAGCAACAGGAGGAGGAGCAGAAGCAGCAGCAGCAGCAGCAGCAGCAGCATCACCCCAGGCGACTCCCCCGGTGCCCATAGACCTGCTGGTGCCAGCCGGCGTGGCAGTGGTGGTCATCTCCGGCCCCAATGCGGGCGGCAAGACCGCCGCCCTCAAGACCCTCGGGATTGCCGCGCTCATGGCCAAGGCAGGGCTTTTCCTGCCCCTGGCGGGGGGTGGTCAAGGGGAGGAGGCGGGCCAGGGCACGGGGGGAAGCGGAGAGGACGGGAAGGAGGCAGGGGAAGTGGAGAGTTGGGGAGCGAGGGGAGGAGGGAGAGGAGGGAGTGGGGGCGAGAGTGGGGGAATAGGAGAAGCGAGCAGAGCAAAGGGGCGAGTGGCGGTGGTGCCATGGTTTGACCGCGTGGTGGCGGACATTGGAGATGAGCAGTCGTTGGAGCAGAGCCTCTCCACCTTCAGCGCCCACATGCGCCAAGTCTCCCGCATCCTCCTCGCCTCCTCGCCTTCTTCCTCTCCTTCCTCGCTCCCCTCGCTCTCCCCGCCCTCCTCGCCCTCCTCGCCCTCCTCGCCCTCCTCTCCGTCTCCTTCTTCCTCCGCCTCCTCCTCCCCTTCCTCCTCGTCTCTCGTACTCCTGGACGAGGCGGGCAGTGGCACGGACCCATCAGAGGGAGCAGCGCTAGCAGCGGCCATTCTAAAGCACCTGGCGGGGTGCAACGGGCTCACTCTCGCCACCACCCACTACGCCGACCTCAAGAAGCTTAAGGTACGGTGGGAAGACAAGGTGTGTCTGTCAGGGTTTGAGACGTCTCAAAGTGGGATACGTCTTTGAGACAGGCTGCAATGGGCTCACACTCTCCACCACTCACTACGCTGACCACAAGAAGCTCAAGGTGGGGAGGGAGGGAGAGTGGGAGGAAGGGAGAGGGGGAGGGAAGAAGGAATGTTTGAGTGCCTGTCTAGTTTTGAGAGCTGTCAGTACTGGCAGGGCGTAATGGGCTCGTTCGCCACCTCTCAACACTGACCTCCAGAAACTCAGGTTACACAAGGGCCTTCCCATGCTCTCTCCTCTGTCTGACCAGTCTTTTAACACCTGCCCTCTTCCCTTCACCCTTCCCATCCTGTCCCTTCCTTCCGTCAGGCGGCCGATTCCCGATTCGAGAACGCCAGTGTGGCGTTCGACCCGGTCTCCCTGCGCCCGTCCTTCCACATCCTCTGGGGTCTCCCCGGCACCTCCCACGCCCTCTCCCTCGCTGCCTCGCGCGGCCTGCTTCCTTCCCTCGTGGCTAGAGCCGCCAGGCTTGCCCGTGCTGCCACTTTGGAGGCAGGAGAAGAGGAGGACAGGCAAGCGGGGAAGAGTGAGACAGACGAGTATGCTACCCTGGGAGGGGGGAGGGGAGAGGGTGAGGAGGTGGGAATACTGGCATCACTCAAGCAGCAGTGGCAGCGGAACGTGGAGGATGCGAGAGAGGCAGCCGAGGCGAGGCAACAAGCAGAGGGACTCCTGAAAGACCTTCAGGCGCACTACACCAGCAGAAGCACCTCGCAGCAGGGCCAGCAGGAGCAGCCTCTGCATGTGAGAGAGGTGCTGTGGAAGAGAAGGTATCAGAGGGACGTTCAGGAGGAGGTTTTGGCAGCGAGGGAGGAGATTTCCCGCATTGTTGCCGCTTTCCAGGAAGCTTCCCTTGCTGGTGTCCCGGAGCGGGCGGCGACAGACCAGGCCTGTGCTGACGTGGCAGCGGTGGCTGCTTTGACTGGCCTCTCTCCCGAGGCTGATTCTGCTTTCGGTTCGGATGCTTCAGTTGGTTCCTTGGGGGGGGATTTGGGAGGGGCTGACTGGGTTCCTGTTCTGGGAGAGCCTGTGTATGTGAGGAGGTTCGGCACCAGTATGCGTGGTACGGTGGTGGCAGTGGGCGGTGGTTCGGGAGAGGCCTCGGCAGAAACAGCAGCTGCTCGGTCTGTGATGGTTCAACTGGGAAATCTGCGATTGCAAGTGCAGAGAGCAGACCTCCTTCCCGCCGCCGATGGCGGTGGTGATGGTGGACAGAGCAGGACAGATGGAGAGGCAGGAAGGAGGGGGGGAACAGGAAGACTGTTTGGCAGTCAATGGGAGCAAGATGACGACAGCAACAGCAACACCAACACAAATAAGTCTCGTGTCTCCAAGCGTGGCGGTCAGTTCCCCTCCCCGTCCTCCTCCTCTTCCTCCCCTCTGCCAGCAGTGAGAGAGGCAGCGGTACAGACAGCGCGAAACACAGTGGATGTGAGGGGGCGGAGTGCAGAGGATGCATTAGCAGCGGTGGACCTAGCAGTGCAGTCCAGCCCGCCTGGTGCTGTGCTCTTCATTGTGCATGGGCTTGGCACGGGCGTGCTTCGGGCAGCTGTGCTGAAATATCTTTCGGGCAGCCCGCTGGTTTCGCGGCACGAGCCGGAAAGCAGGTTGAATATTGGGTGTACTATTGTTTACATTGGGTGAGGAGAGGGTTTGTGTTGTGGTTGCAGTGGTGTGGTTGGGACTGTTGCTGGCACCGGTGAATAGAATGTATTCAATGCTTCCCGTGGGAAACAAGGCAACATCTCGTCAAGGCAACAACTCCACTACGGGAACCGCAGCAACACATTACACATCACTCCACTAGGGAAATGGGAGGCACTAGGCAACTTGCAACAAGAGGAGCCCGACACAGTCAGTGCCTTCAGTAGCTAACTCATGACTATTCTTGCCCGGTGCCACGTTAGAGAGCCCGGTGTGCAGAGCAGCCCTGATAAGTACTCTGGTCAAGAAGAGATGACAGTTATGGATGAGGGAATGCTCTACCCAGTCACACCGCGTCAACTTGTTGCCACCCTGTGCCAGATTGTTGCGACCGTTCATAGGATGATGAAGCATTCCTTTTTGCATGGTCACGTGTTAGTCCTTGATGTGCGTTTGTGAACTTGGAGTTATTATATTCGTTCATGGAGATGGTGAACTTGTCATGCACTACACTCCTCCTGGTTACAGAGCTTAATAAATATGTCATTCATGGGCATCCCCACCCACACCAGACTTCAGTTCAGGGAAAGTACTGGTAGCTGGAGTAAGCACGGACCCTCGGCAACTTGCAACAAGAGGAGGAGCACGACACATTTCATTCAGAGCTAACTCTATGGTCGTGGATGGAACTTGGTCGTTGTCAAGCGTCAAGGGGCCAGGAGAGTCGCTTCGCTGAAGAGAAGGTCCCCTCCGCACTCAAACCATGTCAGCCCCTTGCCACACTTCCACTTCGTGTCAAGCTGCCTCTTCTCACAGCAAGCACCCCTCAGGGAACCCACTTAAGATTCCCTAGCGCAACAAGAAGTAAAATTAGAGGCCGATATGCCATGCCAAAGAATGACAACATACAAAATGTTCAGCAGCCAGCCAGACACAAGCTTCTGGAAAGATATCGCGCTCACTCCAGTTTTGACTTAGGTGTCGACGAGCTCCCCCCCACTGAATAACTCAATCCCAACTGGAACAAATGCAAACAAAGTCAGCACCCATCGTCCAACGCATTCTTAACACACTCTGGTTGAAGGAGAAACACACTTACCATATCCACCAATTTTCCCCTTGAAAGTCATCCACTTACCATATTGAGTTTGTTCCTCCCCGTGAATAGCTTCGCGCGGTCTGCATTCGGCATGGAAGCGGACATCTCGCTCTTCACGTGAACAAACTCAAAGGACTGCGGGTTGTCCTTGGGCGTCCATACGACTCCTCCGTTGGCCGTGAAATCGAAACAAATGAACTTCTGAAGTACTTGGCAATTGAAATCACCTGCGAATGAAAGAGAAAAACAGAGCACCAACAGGGTTCAGCCTTTGCCTAGATGAGGGGCGGACAAGATAGAGAGTGTTCCTTGACCTACTACTCACCGACTTTATGGTAATGCTCATGATTTCCTTCCGAGACATACACAATGGGATGCGTTCCCATCACCGTAGCAAACTTCTTTGACTTGGGATCGTCCCAGTCAGCCCCTTCATCCCACGCCCACACGGGGCCGTCGCCGTTCTGCGCGTACCAAATGCGCTGCGGCTGGCCGGTCTTTGAGAAGCGGATTGCAATCGCCACCAGGTCCGTTACATGGTTGTGCTTCCCAGCAAGGCGGTTGACATAGTTCTGCAAACGAGGAGGGTTGAATAGTTGAAACAGATTGACAGCATTTAAAAAAGGGGTGTGGGAGTGAGAGAGGGGAGGAGGCAAACGGAAGTTCTTGGAATACTCACCTAAGGGTAGAAGAGCCAATACTGAATCTCCACAAACGGGTCTTGGTCGTCGGGTTTCGGATTGTAAATGACGGTATACAACGTCGTGCCTCCGTATTCAATTTCATAATCTGTACCATCCTCAGAAAAAAAGCCTTTGGAGGCAGTCATTTGTGAGGTAATCGTCGATCGTGATTGGCCAGATGGTCTCATCGGTGTGGAACTTGTACTGCGGCGAGTACTTGACTGCCAGGTTCTTCCAGAACGGATCGCACGCGGGGTTTGTCTGCGGGTCGGTCATGCACGGGTCAGCAGGCGGGGGCGGGTCCACCTCTCCAGCAGGCATGGGCGGGTTGGCGTTGCGAACCAGCATGGCGAATTGCTCCTGGAACCACTGGCCAGCTCGCGGCGCGTCTGCCAGGGCGTCCAGGCCAAGCGGGTCCATGGGGTCGCATTCGCGATCCACGGGAAGCGGCTCCGGAATCTCCTTTCTGAGTTGAATACATCGTGGAAAGGGAGGAAGAGATATGAGCCAAGGAGAAGGAAGAAACTACAGTTTGTGGATGCATGCATCAGATGAACCACAAACGGAATTTCTGGACTGAAACGAAATTTGTAAATGCAGGCCGCGGACTAGGACACTTACGCGTGACCCATCGCTCTCCCCAGGCGGCTTGATCCAGACCACAGCGTCAACTGTCGGCAGGCAAGCAAGGTAGGGAGTCACAAGGGGGAAACGATAGTAAAATCAGAATTGTACTAAAGAGAATAAAACGGATACGGACAATTTGCAACAGCACGAGGGAGAGAAGCAGGATGCTATTGAAAGATACCAAGTGCTCACTTTGCGGAGCATCAGCGGGATCCGCCTGGGGGCATTCTCCGATCCCCGCGTTCTTCACGTTGCACCACGACCCCCAGCGCGTTCGAATGCCAGCGACGCCGGACCGGCTGGTGTCAACGATCCACCTGGTGGGCAGTCCCGCGGCCCCCAGGAACGCATTGAGGCGCGCGGTGAAGCGGTTCTCGTCAATGCACGGGTTCCAGTCATAGTTCATTTCGCCCGTGCTCGGGTTCTGTGCGAGCGGGCATTTCTCCGACGCCGGGCAGCCGTCGTCGGACGCGAAGAGCGGGCTGTAGTTGGCCACGTTGGACGCGAAGCCGCGGATCTTGGCGTTCTCGCGGATCTGCCGCGCGCGCGCGAGGACTTTCATGTACACCGCCATGACGCGCTTCATCACTTCCGGCCACCCTGCTCTCGCATTAGACGGGGAGCGGATTAGGGTTGCGGGGTGGGGTGAGGGGGGAAGGGTGCGAAGCGAAACGACGGAAGCAGGGGTCCAGCTGCAAAGGGACGTTGCGCAAAAGAATTGGTGCTCAGGGGAACGCTGCGCAAATCGTGGCGGATCTGGGGCGATCAGGGCCGTCGGATCAGCCGGATGGGGGATCACATCCCTTCGAGATGCCAGCCGGTGTTGACGAGGGTTTGGAGCGGGAAGGGGCGCAGGGGCAAAGGCAGCCGCACACGCACTAACCGAGCCAGCCGCCGAAGCCGGAGTCGAGATAGAGCGTGGTGTCGGGGATCTGCGAGAGCTCCGCGATGCATACGCGACGCCCTCCATGTATTCCTGCTCCGTCGTCGCGTCGCACCGATTCGTGCCCATGTTGGTCGCGATGTTGGGCAGCGAGTCGGGCTCGATCACGAGCGACAGACGCACGTTCGCCGCCTTGTTTTTAAGGCGCGCCACGGCAACATCAATGTACTTGGCCTTGTACGTGTCGAGGCCGCCCTTGGGAATCTCCCCGTTGGACGACCACGCCTTGCAGTCGCGGCCCGGGAGGTCGTAGATCACGAATTGCACGAGAATCGGGTTTCCCCCCGCCTGAGCCGCTGCGGCGTCCCAGGTGGCCCTGGATGGCGTCGAGCTTCGCCATCGTGTCGAGCCACACGGCCGTCGGATGCTCCGCCACGCTCGCGAAAAACGGCGCATCCCCGGGAAGTCGCGGCGCGCATCGCGGCTTCTACGCTTGCCTTGTACTCGGGGTTGAGGTACTGCTGGACTCCCGTGTACGGGTTGCCGGTCGCGCTGTCGGTAACGCGGTAACCGCACGACGTGCCATTGGCGGCGACCAATTCTGTCGCGTTGATTGCCCCTTTGAGCCAGCACGAGCCGCCATTTTCGGCCGTCCACGTCCAATGCGTGCAATCCGCGCGATCGAGGCACTGCTTTCCGCACGTGTCGCCCATGCCGGCGGCTCGGTCAATGTCGTTGCCCTTCCAGTCGCAGTCGAACGACCACATCACCCCCCCCTGCTCGGAGCTTGAGAAGCTGAATGCTAACGTGGCTCTCACTGAGAGATTGAGAGCCACCAGCACTACTACTAGTCCTACCAGTGCCAATGCGTTTCGGAAATACCTAGCCGCCATCGTTTTGGTTGGTTGTTTGTGAAGGAATAATAGAGTTGCGAATGATTGAGTATCGACGTACTCAAGGGACCGTCGCTTTTTATAGCTGGGGACCAGAACTGCGGCTCGGATCGCATCAGGGGGAAGCTTACAATGCCTCTCGTTTCCCATAATGCTTTCCGACCTACGGTCCGAGACGTGAGTTCTGAGAATCCTTGGTGACGCCATGGCTTGTGAGACAAGTTCCCGTGTATGTGTTAGCTGCGCACGGGTTTCTGTAATGTGTGGATGCCGTGGCGTGCGCTGGTGAGGAAATCTGGAATCTGCTTGCAGATCTGCAAGGGCTGTCCGAAGGGAAGCGATACTCCATAGATTGTCGTTCAGAGTGATTGTGAAGGTTTTGACGCGGTACCACACGGTACTGTATTGACCAGTTTGACAACGAAACTCACCAAACAAAACCGTGCTCGGCGACCTACGAAGCCTGGTGACACTCCGTAACATAATTGTGATGCATGTAACATGAATAGCGATCGGAAAGCTGACCTGAAACCGCAACCCGCGAGCTTCGTCGAGCAGCAACAGCTCCTCGTCCACATTCCGGCCGACTCGCCCACAGAAGCTGAAATCGATGCTGGCGACACCTCGTGAGGTTTCGCCAACCGAATGCGATGTTGCGTTGCAAGCAGCCCTGGCGCGAAATATGAACATGTTTCCCGTGCCGAGCAAAACTTGTCGGAGAGCAAATCTGTCGGAAGTTTCGTTCAGTGGGTTTCAACACGGTTGATTGCGGTTGTATTTGAGTTACAGGTTAGGAAATCAAAGCTCCAAATCCGTCCATGTACAACGTTGGCGAAGGAAGGTGCACAGTTCCAGCGGGTAACGCAATTTTCCATGTGAAAAGAGATGGCGAGGGAGGACTAGCCTGGGGATGCGTTCGCGATGGTTTCGGGCTATCATCGCTTGTATTTCGTTGGGCAATTCACTGTGCTATACACACACTGATGCGTCGCACACGGGTAGAAATCTGTAGCAAAAAACATTGTCAGGTTTCGCAAAGCGTGTGCGATGTTGCCCTCATCGCAAGCACGGTGATCACAGTCGCAACAGCCTGCACCAGGATAACCTCCACAAGAAGCAATCCATGGCGTCCCTCGTCTTCCCTACCGCCTGTAGAAGTATTTCATTATTGTTCATGCGACGTAGTCGAGATAGTGTAATCGTAAACTACGTTGTCTCGCCAAAGTCAGGCCCGTGCGGTTTTAATATTTTTTCGAATTTTTGTCTCGTCAACTCTCAAGAAACGCCGCCGGCCGCCATCATAACCCTACTGGCACGACCTTGAAGCAATCTCTTGCCCGCCCTCGACCTACCGTAACTGCAATTTCAATCGTAGGCTCGAACCCCGATTGCGCGCCGAGCTCGCGGGATGGCTGCAGGATCGGATCGTGCAGGCGGAGTCACAATTCCGGAGCGGGCTGTCCAGCGCGCCCATGGCATTCGCATGACAAGGCGGGGAGTGCCACGGCGCGGGGAACAAACAGTTTTGCCGGCGCTACCAGCGGTACGAGCGTGGTACCAGCAGCGGGTGTTTGTAACGACCCTTTGGCACATGAATGACTGTACCGAGTCAGCAGAGCGCGCTCCCCCTCACCGTCAGCTACGTCTGACAGGGGTGGATAAGAGGAGAGGGGAGGTGGCGCCTCTCTAGACTCAAATCGCCCCTAGCTGGCTGTGCACGATGTGCATCATCGCCAGCATCATCAACGCCACCACATCACTGCCCCAACCGTTCTGCTGCATTCTCACCTCACATGCTGCCATGCCGCTCCCCATACACCATGCCATGCTGTGCCTTCTCTCCTATCCACTATCGTTCCTCCCACCCTTCCAAATCAATCCCCGGCGCCTACTTCTCTCCATGCACTCCGCTCCTAGCCAGGCTACACGTGTCCCCTCCTCATTCGCACAATGCTGGCCTTTCCTCTGCATGTATCCCCCGTTCTGCTGCTGTTATCCCTCATTTTCCCCACCATCCTCCCCATTCCTCCCCATCTCGCCCCTTTTTCCCTCTCTCCCCTCAGGCAGGCCAGAGCCCACCCCAAGCAGGGCACGGCACCCCATGCTCCACTCTCCCCTACTCCTCCCTGCTCTCCTCTCCACCTCCCACTTTTCGCCTTTCAGCCAGCCCCACTTCCCACCCAAGCCAGACATCTCTCCCCATGCGCACTCGATCCTCGTCTCCAATCTCTCATCACACATCCGTTCCTTCAACCCTGACCCTCTTTCCGCCACTTCTCATTCCGAGCAATATGCATGAGCCAAGGGCGTGTGGCACTGCAGTCTGCCTTGCTTCTGGACTGCCCTTGTAAAATCCCCCCCCTCCTGCTCGTGCCTCCTACTGCTCGTGCCCCATACCACTCGTGCGCCCCTGCTCATGCTGTCCACGTGGCATTGATCTAGCAGCCGAGAGAGATCCCTGGTCTACAATTGTAACATCTCCTTCTCCCCCACTCTACTCCCACCTTCCCTCCCTCCCCGCCCTCTCCTCTCACTTCCCTTTCTTTGGTTATCTCCACCCCCCCCTGCTATTCTTCTCCCCCTCTCTCCCCGTGCACTCTCTCCCCTCGTACCCCCTCTCCCCTCTCCCCCCCACTCTGCTGCTGCTTATCCCATGCGGCCATCGGTGCTGGCAGGTCATTCAACGCTCACCCTCGCAAGCCAATCAGCTTCACCAACGCACCAATGGCAACCAATGGGAACGTGAAGAATGGTGGCAGGGGATGGGGACACGGGGAGAGAAGCTTGGAGCATGCATGCATGCAGAGTGGGGTGGGGGGTGGGGTGGGGTGGTGTCCAGTGGACGTGTGACCTGAGTGGTGGTGTCACAGCAGCACACAAGCCTCAACCGTTGCTCGCAGTCAGATGCTGGCTGTGATGGAAGACGTCACAACCTTGAGTGTCGTGAGTCCTCACCTCGTAAGGCAGTGGCCTCAGAAGAAACGCCTCCATCACCCTTGCAACTTCCTCCCTCGCTTGCGCCTCTTCCCCTCGCTCCTTGCTCACCCGCTCCTTCTCTGTCAGACATATCCCCCTCTGCTTCATTGCCACTCGTTGTACCAACACCAGCACAACCCCTTGCATCGCTCTCACTCGATTCCATCACACCTCCCCTGCCCCCCCCGTTCCCCACCCTCAACTCCCCTCCTCCACTGTCCGTTCTTTCCATGTGCCCCTGTACCTTCTCCCGCCCTCCTCGTGGTGCTGAGGGTAGTATGGTGGTGCTGAGGGTAGCATGGTGGTGCTGAGGGTAGTATGGTGGTGCTGCTAAACACCCTCAGCACCACCATACTACCATCAGCACCACCAGACACCACATCAGGGAAAGTAGCCGGAGTAAGCAAGGACACTCGGCAACGTGCAACATGAGGAGGAGCACGCCACGTTTTATTCAAAGAGGAGCTAAGGGCGTGTTCATGCGGCCACCTATCAGGCCACCCCCTTGTCAGACTCTGAAATTTCCCTAAACCCAAAATTTTCGCAAAAATTTACCAGGCAAGCCTGATAAGAGGACTGCCTGATAAGAGCGTAGGAACACTCCCTAACTCTATATGGTGGTGGAGCTTGGTCGGTGCCAATCCAAGCGTCAATGGGCCAGGAGAGTCGCTTCGCTGAAGAGAAGAGGGTCCCCTCCCCACTCAACCCATGTGGGGGTTGCCCCTTGCCACACCTCCACTTGTGCCACACTGCCTCTTCTCACAGCAAGCACCCCTCAGGGATTCGCCCCTTGCTTACTCATCCCTTAGGTTAGCAGTGAACTGTTGGCGCAACAAGAAGAAATATTAGAGGCTGATTGGCACGCCATGCCAGAGAAAGACAACATGCAAAATGTCCTGTAGCTAAACACAAGCTTACCTGCCCCTGGTTCTTCTGGAAAGCTATCGCGCTCACTCCAGTTTCGAGTCCGAGTCATCTGAGAACAAAAGCAAACAAAGTCAGCACCCATCATCCAAAGCATTCTCTACACACCGTGGTTGAAGGACAAACACACTTACAATATCCACCAATTTTCCCATTGAAAGCCATCCACTTGTTTCTCCCCGTGAATAGCTTCGCCATGTCTGCATTCGATGTGGAGCCGGACATCTCGCTCTTCACGTGAACAAACTCAAAGGATTGCGGGTTGTCCTTGGGCGTCCATACGACTCCTCCGTTGGCCGTGTAATCGAACAAACGATCCCGAGAGCATAGCAATTGTGACGACCTGCAAATGAAGGAGAAACACAGAGCAGCAACAGGGTCCAGCCTTTGCGTAGATGACTGCAGGACAAGATGCAGAGTGTTACTCGAGGCATTACTCACCAAGTCTAGGGTAGTGCTCATGGTTTCCTTCCGAGACATACACAATGGGATGTGTTCCCATCACCGTACCAAACTTCTTCGTTGACTTTTTGTCGGCTCCTTGGTCCCACGCCCACACGGGGCCGTCGCCGTGCTGCGCGTACCAAATGCGCTGCGGCTGGCCGGTCTTCGAGAAGCGGATTGCAATCGCCACCAGGTCCGCAATGTGGTTGCCACCAAAGGCGCTGGCATAGTTCTACAAACGACAAGGGTGGATTAGTTGAAACAGATTGAGAACATTTTACGAAAGGGGTGTGGGAGAGAGAGAGGGGAGGAGACAAAAGGAAGTACTTGAAGCCAGGGTACCACTTGGAATACTCACGTAAGGGTAGAAGAGCCAATACTGAATCTCCACAAACGAGTCTTTGTCGTCCGGTTTCGGATCGTAAATGATGGTGTACAGCTTCGTGCCTCCGTTCTTCGGGTTGCGCGCCGAGTCGCGCATCCAGTCGTCATCCTTGTCAAACTGATCCGGACTGTACAGGACAGTTGTGCCACGCTCGCTACTTGGATTCTTCAGCAATGTATCGAGGTTGTCGGGAGTGATCGGACCCGTTTGGTAATCAAGCTGATAAACTCTGCCATCCACAGTAAAAAAACCTTTGGAGGAAGTTACGTGT